CACTGCTGGAACTCAACAACTGGCAGACGAGCTGAATGACTTTAATTGTAGGTTTGAAAAGCCCACAGTCACACCTCTTCCCTGCTCCAACACCATCTTCAAACAACCACCTTCCCCCTCTGACACGCTGTCACCCCCCCTCTCTGAACCCTCATCTGCACTCAAGATCTGCGAAAAGGACGTGAGCCACCTCTTCCGTAGGCAGAAGATCAGAAAGGCTCCTGGCCCCGACGGTGTGTCTCCATCCTGCCTGAAAATCTGGGCAGACCAGCTGGTCCCCATCTTCACACAGATCTTCAACAGATCACTGGAGCTATGTGAAGTTCCCTCCTGCTTCAAATGCTCCACAATCATCCCGGTCCCCAAAAACCCTCCATCTCTGGATTAAATGACTACAGGTCTGTCGCCCTGACATCTGTAGTCATGAAGTCCTTTGAAAGACTGGTGTTGGTCCACCTGAAGGACATTACAGGCCCCTTGTTGGACCCCCTGTAGTTTGCCTACAGGGCTAACAGGTCAGTGGATGATGTAGTCAACTTTGGGACTGCATTACATCCTGCAACACCTCGACTCTCCAGGGACATATGCAAGGATCCTGTTCGTGGACTTCAGCTCGACGTTCAACACCATCATCCCGGACATCCTCAGCACCAAAGTCACCCAGCTCACTGTGCCAGCCTCCACCTGTCAGTGGATCACAAACTTCCTGACTGACAGGAGTCAGCAGGTGAGGCTGGGAAACATCACAACCAGCACCTGGACTATCAGCACCGGCGCCCCCAGGGGAGTTTGCTCTCCCCACTGCTCCTCTCCCTCTACACCAACGACTCCACCTGAGGAGACCCATCTGTCAAACTCCTGAAGTTCGCTGACGACACAACGGTCATCAGCCTCATCCGGGATGGAGATGAGTCGGCCTATCGGAGGTTGATCAGCTGGCTCTCTGGTGCGGTTAGAACAACTTGGAGCTTAACACGCTCAAAACTGTGGAGATGATTGTGGACTTCTGGAGGAGCCCCCCCTCTCTGCCCCCCATCACCATACTCAACAGCCCTGTGTCTGCTGTGGAATCCTTCAGGTTTCTGGGATCCACTATTTCCCAGGACCTGAAGTGGGAGCCCAACACCGACACCATCATCAAGAAGGCCCAGCAGAGGATGTACTTCCTGCGCCAGCTCAGAAAGCTCAATCTGCCTAAGGACCTGCTGATCCACTTTTACACAGCTATTATCCAGTCTGTCCTCTGCACGTCCATCACTGTCTGGTTTGGATCTGCCACCAAAAAGGACAGGGACAGACTACAACGGACAGTCAGGACTACAGAAAAGATCATCAGTGCCAACTGTCGGGTCGGAAATAAGGACCGGCCGGGCCAGTAAAAGACCTGGTCCCTACCCTAACCAACGTAATAAACTCAATAAAATTACTCTATTAGATTTCTTCTTTAGTCAAAAAACGGCGTAGTCAAAAACTTCACTGGAGACGGTCAAGAGTCGGTGCAAAAGAGTTTATTCCAATAAAGGACCGATAAACCCGAGCGACATCCCTGCAGGTCTCAGGATGGAACCGAGTTGGTGGTCAGCGAACATCGCCTTATATTCACCTTAAGCTCCACCTTGTCCCTCCTTTCAGGTGGGCGTTACCTCTTAACTCCTCCTTATCTCCTCCTTCTAGGTGGGCGTTACACCTTAACTCCACCTATGGTGTTCGCTGACCACTCCTCCCCTTTGGTGGATTTCTTATCCTCTACTGCCATCTAGTGGCCTTTTTCTTGTACTGTTTTACCAAACCCTTTAACCCTTTCATTAATGTTACAATTTCCACCTTTTAACTATTATTACATGTAATTATTGTTACCATTTATCTCTCTTTATATTTTTCACATTACTGGATTAGAAATCCACCAATATGTTTCAACTTCAGTCCCACCGTATTTTTTTAAAAGTTAGTAGTTTGACACCATTAAAACTTAAACACTTACAATCGTATTTTTTAAAAGAATTAATAAGGAATAACATATTCATACATGCATAACGTGATTCAATGAACAATTACATGATTTAGCAATGTCAACCATGAGAGTGCTTTGTCTCATACAAGTTTTCTTTCGGCAGCGCAGAGCTTGGTTCCATGCAGTACCTAGCCGTACCAGGCGCCATAAATCATAACATGTCATGATCTCATTCTTGGCTTCAGTTCGCGATGATCTCAGCCCTGGCGTACGTGACTTTCTGCACGTGCCTTGCTTCTAATGAGTGGGTTACGTTTGGCTAGGTTTTGCCTGCGCGGCCTGAGCAGCTCCTCTGCTCATTAAAAGCACACGTTCATGAATACACAGAGTATAGGAATAATGTATGATAAACACAGAATAATGTATGATAAACACACAGAATATAAGAATAAAATATGAGTTTAAACTCACTCCTTAAACACCCAGTAGTTATACACTCAGTAGTAAAACACTCAGTAGTTTAAACACTCAGTAGTCAAACTTCACACTAAAAGAATACTCGGTAGTGAAACACTCAGTAGTTATATCATATTGCAAACCATTGATAAGGTGTATAAATATAGAAATAGAACCTAACAATCAATCTAGGATTTAGGCCATATGCAATCAATCTAGGATTTAGGCCTTATGTATATTTAGGCCTTATTCAACACAACCTGCCCTCCATTCAGGACTTATACATTTCCAGAGTCAGGAAATGGACAAGAAACATCACTGCAGATCCATCTCACCCCAGACACAATCTGTTTGAGCTTCTCCCCTCTGGTAGGCGCTACAGAGCACTGTACACCAACAAAACCAACAGACTCAACAACAGTTTCTTCCCACAAGCCATCACTCTGATGAACAGCTGATTTCTGACTCACGGTGTCAGGAACAATTCTGGTGCAATAACCCAGTAACTCTGCCTCTAATCAGCCACCTGTTTACTGGCTAACACTTATTTATTCACTATTTTCTCTTTCAGTGCTGTTTATACTGTTATATTGTCATATTGTAGATACTGTATAACAAATCCACCTACCTCAAGTCATAACTCCTGCACTAAATACTTATAATAATAATATAATAATAATAATAATAATAATACATATTATTTGTGGGCGCCTTTCATAGCACTCAAGGACATGCGGGCAAAAGGAATGGAACGTAGTGAGGAAGAAGAGGATCGGAGAGTTCGGGATGGGGTGTAGGGCTGAAGGAGTTCAGACAGATAAGGAGGAGCAAGATTATGGAGAGCTTTGAAGGTGAGGAGTAGAATTTTAAAATCAATACGGTATTTTAGAAGTGGAGTGATGTGTTCAGAGACTGGGGGTTCTGGTGATAATATGGGCAGCAGAGTTTTGGACCAGTTGGAGTTTATGAATGGACTTGTGAGATAGACCAGAGAGAAGGGAGTTACAGTAATCAATACGGGAAGTGACATAGCAGTGTTATGGTGTGAAAGACGAAGGCAGTTAATGGTGCGTAAGTGGAAATAAGCAGACCTGGTAAGATTATTAATGTGTTTTTCAAAAGAAAGTGTGCTGTGGAGTCACGTGACGTGGTTGACGAGAATGGCTGCGTGAGGAATAGCTGCGCCCATCCCAGCACGATATTAACTTTAAAACTTGACAAAGAGTCCAACTTTATGTGAGTTAACATATTAAAAGTTGAAGTTGTATGACAATAATGCCAAACAATACCAGAAGTACCACTAATCCTCCAAGAACTGGCTCGGGTGGAACGAAGGCTAACGAAGTGGCTAACGCTAGCCAAGCTAACCAAAAGAAACCGCAGCCTCATGACGAGCCCGACGCTGATGAACCGGACGCTAGCACCATCCCCGGTAATGTAGCCAAAGAGTTTGCTAAACTTACCGCATTAATCCTGGAAAAGTCAGACGCCCACGACAAAAAGCTGGAGGCTATATGGGTGACAACAAGTGCTACAGATAGCAAACTTGCTGAAATTACAAATCGCATTTCTCAAGTCGAGAGCCGTTTGGGCTTCCTCGAGGAGGCTAATGAGAGACAGCAGGCGAATCCTCCAGCCACAGTTACTGAGGTGGAAGCCCTCCGCCAAAAACTGGACGACATTGAGAATCGGGAGCGTAGAAATAATTTACGGTTCATCGGGTTTCTTGAGGGCTGCGAGGACGGTAACACCATGTCATTCCTCATAAAATGCTTACCGGAGATCCTGAACCTCGATTCCCCCGGAGGTTTGGAAATTGACAGAGTGCACAGGATTGGAGGATTGCGCAAGAGCTCAGGTCCGGAACATCCCTCGCCAGCAAGACCCATTATCGGCAGATTTCTCAGATTCCAGGACCGAAACCGCATCGCGGAGGCTGCACGCAAGATGGGTATAGTTACCTGGAAGGAGCATCGTCTAATGGTCTTCGCCGACTATTCCAAGTTGGTTAATGAGAAGCGCATAAAGTTCAACGAGTGTAAGAAGATGCTCCATGAAAAACGCATGAGATTTTCTCTCGATTACCCGGCAGTGCTCACCGTGAGATCAGCGCAGGGCCCCCGCCGATTTGATGACCATAAAAAAGCCCTGGCTTACATTCATTCCCTTGGTTAACTCGGCGTTACGGTGTTTTGGTGTAATGGTATTGTATCATGGCCTTACATTGTGGAGGGCTGAGCCCTTGCTTTGCGGATTCTTTTTCTGTTGGTCTTCCTTTGGTCCCGGAGTATATGAGGGTAAAGATGAATCCACTAAATGTTCCATTTTTGACTGTCAAACAGACATTTAGTCGTCTTCTTTTTTGTCGGAACATAAGTGGATAATATTGCTGGAGGGTTTCTGGCTATATGGACTAATGGCGGGTCCTCTGATCCTTTGTTTATTTTTTGTTTATTATTATTCTCTCTCTCTCATTATGTCAGGAGGTTTAACTATTGGCACTTAATTGTAATAGAGGGAAGAGAGAAAAAAAAAATAAAGAAAACCCTTAAAGGACTTGTTTCACGGGGAGGTTTGGTTTGTTTCCCCTCAGGAGAGGGCTGAGCCCTTCAGTGGGTCTATCACTAGCTCGGACGCGCATGAACACAGAGAGGACTCACCTGGAGGTTAGTAAAATCACTTTATTGTGCAAGGCAACACCGCTGCTTAATTTCATGATGTAAAGTGAGGCTTTATTGGTGAGGCAGCCCAAGCCTTGTCCTTTCAATGTTCGCCCATTTTCTGGTTTATGCATAGGGGCGTCATGGGTCACACAATCATTTTTTTTCTTTATGCAGACTTCTGTTTAATGTGTAACTCGTTGTCTGAGTTCGAAATATCTTCCTCTTGGTTACGCTCGTGTCGGGCAGGTAGGAGGTTGGGTGGTCGTCGCTGCCTGATTCTGGGCAGGACATCAGGTGCAGGGTGGGTGGGGCACGGTCATAGCGGCTTTAAGTTAGAGAGTCACGGACCAAACTGAGATTAGTGTTTGCGTCTGGCCTTAGAGATGCATTTTTGTTGCTTTTGTTATCTGTATGTTTAATGTAAAATTTAATGTGTTTTTTGTCTCTTATTGTTTAGTGATGTTACTCATAAATAAGTCATTTTGGAAAGTACAGCAAAGCTTGTTTAACACTCATTATACATTATTTCAGCTAGTAGTACAAAAGGGTTGAAACTTATGAGCTGGAATGTCAGAGGCCTCCACAACATAGTGAAGAAGAGGAAGGTATTAACTTTCATTAGATCTAAAAAATGTGATGTGGTATTTATGCAGGAGACCCACTTATTACCACGAGAATCTCAAAAGCTCTGGGGTGATTGGGTGGGCTTTGTGGCGGCTGCCTGTGGCAGTAGCAAGAGCAGAGGAGTGGCTACTCTAGTTAACAAGCGGCTACAATTTAAATGCTTAAAAGAGAGTGCAGATGAGGAAGGGAGAATACTGTTGATGCTTTGTGAGATCCAGGGAAATAGTATTATACTTGCGAATGTGTACGCTCCAAATAGAGACGATCCGGCATTTTTTGGGCTACTTGAGAAGAAACTAAATGATATGGGAGACTATCCAATTATCATGGGGGGTGATTTTAATGAGGTAATGGACCCTATATTAGATCGTAGCTCTCCATCTGTCCGCACCAATAGGGCACACGCAGTGCTCAAAGATATGTCCAAAGCATCCGGTCTAGTAGACATTTGGCAGTTACAAAACGCATCTTCGAGGGATTACACATTCTTCTCTTCACCACATAGCTCGTTTTCCAGAATAGATTTTTTCTTGGTGTCTCATCCACTGGTATCAGCTATGGGGGTGAGTGACATTGGTAATATAATTATTTCAGACCATAGTCCAATATTTCTCCATATTCTGTCCTTTAATAAGCCGGCTAGGTCAACTAGATGGAGACTAAACTCTAGCCTTCTATTAGATGAGACCTTTAAGGAATCACTTAGATCACAAATCTCCCAACGGCTCCATCGGTAGGGGTAGCATGGGAGGCTTTGAAAGCCTTTTTGAGAGGCCACATAATTCAATACTCGTCATTCAGGAAGAAGGAAAACAATACTAAGCTCCAGGAGCTTGAAAAACAGATCATAACGGCAGAATCTAACTTTAAAAAAAATATGTCCTCTGAAATCTTACCAGGTTGACTAGACTAAAATATGATTTTAATTCAATTATGACCCAGAGGGCAGAATTCTCTCTCTTTCGGGCAAGGCAGAAATATTTTGAGGAGGGTGACAAGGCTGGTAGACTACTTGCCAGGTACATTAAACAAAAAGAAGCAATGAGTACTATTCCTGCTATTAGGAGGGACAATGGGTCTGTCCTGACTGATCCCAAGGAGATTAATACAGTTTTTAGAGACTTTTATGTAAAACTCTATACTTCAGAGGCAGGGGGGGACAGGGATGACATCTTTTCTGTCAACTCTTGATCTGCCGGTGTTGTCGGGGGACCAGCTCGAACGCCTTGAATCACCTGTTACTATCGAGGAGATAAGGGATGTTATTAAACACCTCCCTTCAAGTAAAGCACCGGGTTTAGATGGCTTTACGGCCGAGTTTTATAAAGCTTATGCTGAGGAACTTGCACCATTACTCTTAGACACCTATAATGAAGCTTTCGAGAAGGGTAAACTCCCTCCCTCTTTATCCGAGGCCATTATCACCCTTATCTTGAAGGAAGGAAAAGACCCTCTAGACTGTAAGAATTTTAGACCTATTAGTTTGACCTCCTGCGACAGTAAAATACTATCTAAAATTGTAGCTAACCGTCTGGACAAGGTAATAACCTCCTTGATCCATCCTGACCAGATCGGCTTTATACGTTCGCGCTCCTCGGCTGACAACATCAGAAGACTTCTTGATATTATGTGGGCCACTCAGGATAATGCCTCTCCCATGGCTGCTATCTCGCTGGACGCCGAAAAGGCGTTTGACAGGGTGGAGTGGCATTATCTGTTCTCCACCCTTGAATGTTTTGGCTTCGGCAAAAAGTTCATAGCTTGGATTAGGCTCATATATACTCATCCCTCAGCGTCAGTGCTTACTAACGGTATCATCTCCCTCCCATTTGAACTGGAAAGAGGCATGAGGCAGGGAGATCCTCTCTCTCCTCTACTTTTTGCAGTTGCACTTGAACCGCTAGCGGTTGCTATACGTAAAGAATCTGCATTTCCAGGCATACAAATCGGTGAAAAATGTCATAAATTGATGATGTATGCAGACGATATCCTTTTGTTTGTCACAGATCCCGAGCAGTCTCTTGCATCACTATTCAAAATTATTGACAAGTTCTCATCCATTTCGTGCTATAAAGTCAACTGGACAAAATCTGAGGCTCTTCCTCTCACTCCATATTGTCCCAAATCCCTCTTCCAGTCAGGCACTTTTGCCTGGCCTAAGAAAGGCATTAAATATCTTGGTTTAACATTCCCCCCCATATTGACGGATCTGATTAAAACAAACTTTGACCCCCTACTGGACAAACTGCGGGCTGACTTTGAGCGGTGGTCTCCATTGTATCTCTCTATGTGGGGGAAGGCAAACATCATTAAAATGATTTGTGCTCCGAAATTTAACTATTTGCTACAGGCTATGCCAGTCCGAATTCCTTTGCGCTATTTCAAACAATTTGATCAACTTTGTAATACATTTTTATGGAATAATAAACGCCCCAGGATGAACCTGCGAAAGCTGCAGAGGCCAGTGGACAAAGGAGGATTAGGTGTGCCCAACTTGCTTTTTTACCATTATGCGTTTACCATTAGGCATATGGCACAGTGGTCTTTACCCCCGGAGAGAGCCCCTCCGTGGTTCCACCTCGAAAGCGCGGTGTCCTCCCCTCTCACACCCATTGCATACATCTCAGCTAAATTAGCCCAACAGTATCAGTCACATCCCATTTTGTCTCATATTCAGTGGGTCTGGAAGAGAGTAGCTAAGATTCTTAAATTTGATCCGTATCTGCACCAGGCTGCCGGGATCTGGCTAAATCCCAAGCTCTGTATAAATAAATCTCCCTTCCTTTGGAAGCTTTGGTTGCAAAAAGGGATTAGGGTGCTCGGTGACTTGTACCAGGATGGGACATTAAAGTCTTTTGAGGCACTTAGTCAGGAATTTGACTTACCACGTAATCAACAGTGGAAGTATTTTCAGTTAAGACACCTACTGGTGCAGGTCTTCGGCTCCCCTTCAGTAGTCCCACCGAGCGGTGACATGTTGGAGAAGGTTCTAACAATCTATGGGCGTGGCCATGAAGCCTCTGCCTACTACGCTATGATCCTTACGGCCTCAGACTCTAATATTTTGTCCCTTAAAATGACATGGGAAACTGATTTAAAGGTGTCATTTACAGATGCAGAATGGGGCAGAATTCTTAGCAATGGGAAAAAAATGTCAAGGGAATTGCGAACGCGACTTATCCAATTCAAAATACTGAATAGAATCTATTGGACACCATCCAGGCTGCATAAGGTTGGTTTGGTTGATAACTCAGAATGCTGGAGGTGTCAGGACAAAAATGGTACCTTTGTACACATGCTCTGGAGTTGCCCAAAAATTCAGGCATTTTGGTCTTCCCTGCATACAATTGTAGAGAAAATTGTCGAACAGAATATCCCACTCACCCCTAGTCTGTTTATTTGGGGGACCCCTCTGCATTAAGTGACCTGGCCCCTCCACTTTCTAACTGGATCCAGACTGTCCTCATGCTAGGCCGGAAACTTGTGGTCAAAGAATGGGAAGCCCCCTCTGCACCAGCACTGGATTAGTGGTACGCCGCTGTGGGTCAGCTGGCTGCCCTTGAACATCTGTCCTATAGGTTGCTTGATAAAGTGGAGGAGTACAACTTGAAATGGGGGAAGTTTCATTCATACACCTTGAAGGTTTAACAGCGTTCCAGCTCAAAAACATAGCATTTAACTAGGAAACATGATTGATGGATACTTTTGGATAGAATACGGTACCTACATTTAGGCAAGGCTGTAACTCAAGGGCTAGGTGCATCACTGCTTTATTTTATTTTATTATTATTATTTTTATTTATTTATTTATTTATTTATCTTACTTTATTATTTTCTAAATGTATTTAGTTTTTGTCTATGGGCGTGCCACGTCCTCCTTTCATTCTATTTTGTTGTATGAGTATTGCTTTATTTTTCGGAAGGAATGTGTGTGTGTTTAAATGTTCTGAAAAATCAATAAAATGTTAATCATAAAAAAAAAAAAAGAAAGTGTGCTGTCGAGGATGACACCAAGACTCTTGACGTGGGGGGAGGAGGGGACAGTGGAATTGTCAATGTGTAGATTAAAGTTTGGACATTTTGTTAGAGTGGATTTGGAGCCAACAAGGAGAATTTCAGTTTTATCACTGTTTAGTTTGAGGAAATTGAGTGAGTGAACCAGGTATTAAATTCATCTAAGCAGTCAGAGAAGACAGTGGGACCAGAGACGTAGGTTTGGTGGACAAGTAGAGCTGGGTGTCATCGGCGTAGCAGTGAAATTGGATATTGTATTTCCTGAGAATAGAACCAAGGGGAAGTAGGTAAATTATAAAAAGGAGGGGACCCAGGACTGATCCCTGGGGAACACCACTTTGACTGGGGAGGGTTGTGGTCGAACA